CTTGATACGCCGTCTCGACTACTTTCCCGTTAAGGTCACACAACCGTTGCGTGTCCAAGCTATATAAGATAGTGGCAAAAGACTCGAGAAGAGCAGTCTGAATGAGTGGACACTGGCAAGCAAATGATAACCCGACTCAAGTTCACGAAGAGTTGCCTTTGTCTCATCTATAGAGGTGCGATAAGAGGCAAGCACAAACATAAGTTCCAGCCGATGACTGGCGTTCGAAGCTATATCCAGGCGCTTCCGAAGCCATGATAAGTCCACTTGGTGACGCTCCATGTCAGAGATCCCCTGATACGCCGTCTCGACTACTTTTCCATTAAGGTCACACAACCGTTGCCTGTCCAAGCTATATAAGATAGTGGCAAAAGGGTTATTATTGGCCCGAGATGGAGAAGGACTCAAATCAATTACAGAGGGAATGCCCCAAGTGTCAGTCATACATCTGGGAGGATGAGAGTTGCTTTGAAATTGATACCCTTGACTGGAGGCAAGTCTACATTGACTATCTCAAAGAGGGAACACTACCTGAGAGCCCGAGGGACATTGCACACCTCTTATTTCGTACTCGTAAGCGGGAACAGTTGTTAAAGTTGATAGGCCGATACTCAGATGTGTTTGCTTGGTCATATAAGGAAATGCCCGGACTAGATCCTGACCTAGTCTCCCACTATCTTGATGTGTTCCCAAACTCCAAGCCAATTAAGCAAGCTGCTCGAAAATATCATCCAGATCTCGAAGAGAAGATTAAGGAGGAGATTGAAAAACTTCAACAGGCTGGTTTCATCCGGCCAATACAGTACCCCACGTGGTTAGCAAACATCGTGCCAGTAAAGAAGAAGAATGTCCAAATCAGAGTATGTGTAGACTTTCGAGATTTGAACAAATCTTGCCCGAATGATGAATTCCCTCTTCCTCACATCGACACCCTCGTGGATACTACCTCGGGACACCAGATGTTCTCATTCTTGGATGGATTCAGTGGATACAATCAGATTAAGATGGCTGAAGAGGACGCAGAAAAGACTGCTTTTAGAACACCTCTCGGAAACTTCTTCTATACAGTCATGCCTTTCGGACTCAAGAATGCCGGTGCAACTTACCAAAGGGCTATGACTGCAATCTTTCATGACATGATCCATCATGAGGTGGAAGATTATGTTGATGATCTAGTGGTGAAATCCAAGAAAGAAGAGAACCATCTCCGAGACCTTGAGAAAGTATTAAAAAGGTGCTAGAAATTCAAAATGAGGATGAATCCTCTCAAATGTGCTTTCGGGGTGACGGCCGGGAAGTTCCTCAGGTTTCTTGTATATAGGCATGGTATCGAGGCAGATGAAGACAAGGTCAAGTCTATCAAAACAATGCCTCCCCCATATTCTCAGAAGGAGTTAAAGAAGTTCCTCGGGAAGGTATCTTATATTCGGAGGTTTATCACAGCACTGGCAGAGATCTCTGCCCCTTTCGGTTCATTGTTGAAAGGAGATGCCAAGTTCGAGTGGAACCAAGAGCACCAAAAGGGCTCCGAGAGAATCAAGGCGGCCTTAACCTCGCCTCAAACCATGATAGCCCCACAGCCCGGGGTCCCTCTAGTGTTGTACTTAACTTCAACCCCCAAGTCCATAGGGGCATTATTGGTCCAAGATGTAGATGGAGCAGAACGCCCGGTGTATTACATCAGCCGGAAGATTCGAGGAGTAGAAGTCTGATATATTCCAGTAGAGAGACATTGTTTAGCTTTGGTATTCACTGCCCAAAAGCTCAGACATTACTTCCTAGCACATCAGATTCAGATTGTTACTAGAAGTGATCCAATCCGATACCTCCTCAGCAAGCCTGCTCTAACCGGGAAGGTGGCAAGATGGTTGTTAGCACTGGGTGAATTCGAGATCACATGTGTAGCCCCCAAGGCGATCAAAAGCCAAGCCTTAGCTGATCTCCTTGCCCAATTTCCAAGTGGTGACTATGAACCAGTGAATGAAGAATTAAGAGGAGAGGTGCACACAGCTATGGCTTCCGAGGAAAGCTTCTGGACATTGAGCTTTGACGGAGCAGCAGCCGGAGGGAAGGGAGGAACCGAGATAGTCCTTACAAGCAAAAGTGGGGAAAAGTTATATTTATCTTATAAACTGGATTTCCATTGTTCGAATAATGAATCCGAGTATGAGGCTCTTATGTTAGGCTTGATAGCAGCTGAGAAGCACAGTATCAAGAAGATTCGGATCCGGGGGGACTCAAAGCTGATAGTGAAGCAAGTTTCAGGACAGTTCGTCTTAAAGGAGCCTGCCTTGGCCACATATCGAACAACAGTCCGAAGGCTTCTTGACAAATTTCAGAAGGCCGAAATAGAGCATGTGCCTCGTTCCGACAACAAGTTCTCAGACGCCCTCGCTACATTAGGGGCATGAGTTGATATCCCAGAGGAGGAGGCGACAATTATTATCAAGAAGAGAATAGAGCCTTCGATAATACCTAAAGACAAAGGCCTTCCGGAGGACTGGAGAGGAGAAGTCCTTGAACAACTCAGAAGCAAAGTTGGAAAATTGACTATGGCCAAGCTTGCCCAATTCATAATTATTCAAGGTGAACTTTACTTCCGAGGAGGTATCGGATTCCTAGCCCAGTGTGTTGGCCAACAAGAAGCAAGTTTCCGACTACAACAGATTCATGAAAAGTCTTGCGAGGATGAGGATATCAGTCTGTACAAAAAGATCCAAAGGCATGGCTATGATGGTGCATGATGGCCACAACCCGAGCAGCTGGTGAAAGCTTTCCAAATGATCTTGCAACTCTAGGGGCAAATGTCAACATTCCACGGAAGAAGTCTATCTATGACATTTACAGTTTGCATTGTCCATGAAGTTCTCTCTTTCTTATGTTATGAAGAAATTTATTTCCTCCATATTATGTATCTCCATTAAAAGTTATTTTCTCTACATTGTATATCTTCATTGTGTTATTTTGCTTGAAACAATTTTCAATTTTGTTGCCCCTCAAAGAAGAAAAAGGAATGGTAGACTCAATTACCAACCTGAAGGGAGTTTTCTTGACACAGTAGAAGTATACTTCCACTCGGACCCCTGAAGAGCAGCCATGGCTTCCATCAATGCAAGCTTTGAGGGTCTCTCTTGCTGAAGTAGAGTGTGTGCTCCCACTCGGACTTCCGAAGAATAGCTCTTACTTCCATCAATGCAAGCTTCGAGGGTCTTTCTTATTGAAGTAGAGTGTGTGCTCCCACTCAGACTTTCGAAGAACAGACCTCGCTTCCATCAGTGCGAGCCTCAAGGATCTTTCTTGCTGAAGTAGAGTGTGTTCTCCGCCTCAGACTTTCGAAGAACAGATCTTGCTTCCATCGTTGCGAGCTTCGAGGGATAGCCTTTGCTTCCATTAGCTGCTGAAGTAGAAGTGCGCATCCACTCGGACTTCCGAGAGACAGCCTTGTTTCTGCTCGGACTTCTGAGGAAGAGCCTTCCGAAAGACAACTCTTGCTCTCATTAGTGCGGGTCTGAAGAACAGCCCTTGATTTCATCAATACGAGCTCCGAGGATATTTCTTTTCAAAGTAGAGATATTAAAAAACAAAAATTGATTGTTCAAAAAAAAAAATTGGATTGAATGTTGGATTGTGTCGAATGTTAATGAATTATGTATTG